TGCTCCGCTTCTTCCTGGTCTGCAGACCGGGGAGCCGCGGAGCAGCTTTTCTCGCCCCGGAGTACACGGGCGGCGGGACCGCGAGGTCCCGCAGTCTGTGTCCTCCGGGGTGAGAAAAGCCCCGGCGTATAAGACGACCCCCAATTTTGGGGGGATGTTTTTTAGCATAGAAAGTAGTCTTATATGCCGGAAAGTATGGTAAACTAATTTTAAAAAGCACCAACCAATCTCATCAGAAGCCAAAGTGCCAATTCTCCCCTGCTACACGGGCGGCGGGACCGCGAGGTCCCGCAGTCTGTGTCCTCCGGGGTGAGAAAAGCCCCGGCGTATAAGACGACCCCCAATTTTGGGGGGATGTTTTTTAGCATAGAAAGTAGTCTTATATGCCGGAAAGTATGGTAAACTAATTTTAAAAAGCACCAACCAATCTCATCAGAAGCCAAAGTGCCAATTCTCCCCTGCTGGATCTTCCACGCAATTACAATTCCAAAAGTAGAGGCTTTTACAAACCCTGCCAGTATAGGCCTAACTTTTTAGCTGTAACATTAAATGATCTGTGTGACTTGCTGTAATAGCGCCCCCAACTTGGCCACTCACCAGTCAAGCACCCCCAACTTGGCCACTCACCAGGCTTTGAGGGGATCCAGCTTGTGATTCCTAGGTGTTAAGCATCTGGAATGCGAAGAGAGAGTCCTGGCTCTGCAATGTTAATAGTGTGTCCTGGCTCTGTCCTCTGAGTTGGGGCTCCTAGGCAGGTCTTTAGAACATAGTTCCTCTGGCTGGCCAATTTCTCAGTCCCCCTCTCCCCCCCCACACCCACGCCAGTTGAAACCCAACTTTTCCCAGAATCCCATTGTGGATGTGAGCCTTCTAATTTACCTCTTCAATGGGGCAGGCATTAAATGTAACTTTTAAAACAAAGACATGATACAGACTTCTTATCATTGCTCTTGCTTTAATAGTGTACAGATCACAGACAACAAACTGAGAGCAGTCTGTCTCTTTCTAGCTCACCCTTTCCTTGAGATGATGAACCATCTGATTTTCCCTGCCTCAGATTCCTGCAACAACTTAACTTCTGCTTGAGCTGGTGAAAACAGGCAAAGACCTCAAACAGTCAGTTCCTGCCCTTTTATAACCTTTCAATCTGTCAGGTGACTCCTGGCTCAATCTCAAGCAATCAGGCCTTTGTCACATGACCCACTTCCCTCAACAACCAATTCTTCTATGTGAAATCCATCTGTTGTCTAGGATGCTTATGTTTGGCTAGACCAACCCTGAGTTAGTGATCCTCTCTTGACAGCTCTGTATTGCTACCCCTTGAAGTTTCAATCCAACAGTGAGGCAAATAGGCAACAGGGATAACTAGTCCCCACATACATAATCGAGTTTGCAGGCTGAACTCAAACTGTGTTCACACAACTCAAATTGTGCACAGATTGTCACACACACGGCACAGCTGGAAAGCAAATATCTT